GTGGATTGATCAAGGGCTTTATTTCCTTGACCATGAGCACTCTTCTTCTCGTGTTTATTCTTCCACGAGTAGCAATCCCATTTGAAGTGTCCCGGTTTATTGCAAAACCAATAAGTCGCAGTCGACTTTGACTTCTTCTTAGGATTGCCTTTGGAGGGTTTCTTTCCTTGTCTTTTGGCTCCACGTTTCTCATCCTCTACAACATTCACTATAGTAGGAGGAGAAGCGCCTTTTCCATCTTGCACCCGGAGATCCTCCTCGATGCGAATATGTGTTCCCAACTGTTCAAGAGACATATCGTCTTTTTTGTATTTCAGGGAACGCTTGACATCCTACCAACTCGGTGGAAGTTTGTCAACAATGGATGAAACTTTGATGGCTTCATCCATCTGCAGTTTGTATTGTACGAATTGACTCAAGATCCTTTATAGTTCATGGAATTGCTCCATGACCGATCTCGAGTCCACCATATTTTAAGAGTTGAAACTACTTATAAGAAATCTCTTGCTAGAGGCATCGTCTGAGACGTATTTAGCCTCCAGCGAATCCCATAGGGCTTTGGCAGTATCTATGTGTTGATATACATCAAAAAGTTCATTGGACATACCGTTAAGAATGTGGCCGCAACACACGTAGTTATCGTAGTCCCATTTGTTCTGCACGCGAGCCGCAATCCAATGTCTCCTCTTTGGTTTCTTCCGGTCTAGGAGTGCTTATCAGTAGATGACGTTCAGCGTCGTCAGGGGGAAATGCATCTTCTTCTGCCACCTTCGAAATCACACGCCCTCGAACTTGTCAAGTTTGTGAAAGGCTATTGTAAGATCTCTCACCGAAGTAGTCATCCTCGAATGGATAACGTTTTTAGATTGTTAGAAATCTGGGATATAAAAAGAATAAGAAAAGTAAATCGGGAACCGGATAACTCTTCAAGGCGTGATACACTTTCCTAAAAACGTTATTCCGTCCTATACGAGCAAAGGACTTCCCGGAATACGTTTTTAAGATACAATGAAGAGAAAAGTGATCTTAGTTTGCTCTCCTAAGATTACAAACACAAGAAACTGCAAGAAGAAGATGAACAAAAAGCTTTTATGAGTGTTTTGCAAGAACAATCACAAAAGTGCTCTCAAATCTCTCAAAAAACAACTTGGATATGTTCTCTTTCGTGTTAGGATGTCTAGGGGTGTTTATAAACCTCCAAATGTCGAAAGGTGTGAAGAAATCGGAAGTTTTTTCCGAACGATCGCGATTTTTCGTTATTTCCGAACTGCTCAGAAAAAACGGACTACCCGCCCGTTTTTTCGAGCTACCGCCCGTTTGTTCCCGAACTGCTCAGAAAAAACGGGCTACCCTCCCGTTTTTTCGAGCTACCGCCCATTTATTTCTGGGCTTTATTCCTCAGAAAAAACAGGTTGCCCTCCCATGTTTTCGAGCTGCCCTCCCATTTTTTTTAGATCACTCTCCACATTCAAAACCGAACGTAAACTCTTCCGACGAATCTTTAACATTTAACCAAATCATGGCACGTCTTTTACAAACATTTAAATCCTCCACCTTACTCGTAATACACGTGAAGTATGAATCCTTTTGAGAGATTCTAAATTCCCATTCATTTACTCTAAAAATCACAACAGAAACATGCGGAGAAAAGCGTGCGAGAACCAAGAAGAATGGATTATGCTCAAACTTTGGCGCACGAAGAAGAAGATTGTTATTTTAGATTCATTCTATTTTTTCTTTTTGTAATTTTGAAGAAAAATAAATAAATCAAAGAGTACTTTCGTCCTTTCAATTTCTATTTAGATTAGGATTGGAAATAACCCTTATGACGGATTTGGATTCGGGTCTGAAGATTTAGATAACGGATATCCGCAGATACCGTATATATATGAAAAAGACAAAATTATTCTTATACTACTATTTATCAAAATACCTAAGGCTTTATAATGATTTTATTACCAACCTAATCCTTTCAATTTTAAAATCATTTTGTATTTTTGAAAACTTTCTAAGAATCTATACATATTCTTATATTTAAGAATTCTCAAACTTTAAATATATTTTTGGATCAAAATATGTATAATTTTGTTGTATATTTGGTTTAATTTTAGATTGATAAGTATTGTACATACAGATACAGTACTCGCTGGTACCAATCTTTTAGTCACTGATATCCGGATGTTGCGAGACAAAGATAGAGATAATATTTTTATAAAACCCACGAAAACGAAAATTAAGATGGATATATCTAAAAACATGGATACCCAACCCGTATCCACCCCTAGTTTAGATATCTATCCGAAATATCATGAAATTCAAATATAAACAATCTTTCTCATAAAATCCAATAATTATGATCAGATATTATTCGAATATCCGAGATATTTGAATATGAAATATATTGATACATAAGCTGCTGTAGAATTATACAGACTTTTTATAATTCCTAATTTTTGTTCCTAGTATTTATGTATGAATTGGATTTCCAACAGAGTTGTCTCAATTTTTTATTTAGAACTCTATACAAAATATTAAATTTAATTATTAAAAGTTTAAATTTTATGTATAAAAATTTAAAATTAAATTTAAAATGTGAAATTATATAGAATAGTAATATATGTAAATAATATATAGTTTTTAATATATTATTTTATTATTGGATGTTGTCGTATTATTGGATATTCTCTAGACAAATGTTTGATTTTTTTATATAAAACACGAGGTATGTATATAAAACACTCTTTAAGTTTATCATGTCGTTTAATTCAGATTTATACAAGGAATATTAAATTTATTCACATTATTTGTACATGTGATGAGTACTTTATTTTATGTATCATGTATTTTTTTCTCTCTATATGTTATAAAAGGAATCAAATTTATTTCAAGATGATCGGGTAGATAAAACAAATAGAAAAATATAATAAAAAACATTTTTGAAAAACCGCGTTAGTTAGCAACGGATTAGACAAATGAGTTGATATTAGATGAAAGAACAATTAGAAACTCGAACAAAACCGAAAACGCAATAATTCGGTTATTAGACCAAACATTTACGTCAAAGACTAAAGTTAGTTCGTTATTTGAAATCATTGCATTTGTACGAACCTCAAACACACGAAGGTGGGCCCACGTAGGTTCCTCAATTTGACTGTTACCGCTCTT